TTTCAAAAACCGAATAACTTTTCAAAAGAGCAATTCAAAAAACGATTAAAAAAGTGCTTGTAAACACCAAATAAAATATGCAAAACATTGAATAAAACACCTTCATTTCCCGTTAACAGAAACCATGAAAGCAATAATTGATGGGACTTTGCATCATTCCGATTACCTCTTTGATCTTTATTCAGCAGTCGACAGTAGAAAGTACCGTACCCATGATCGTGAAAAGACTGAATAACCATTTCGTTTACACTAATTTAGATTTCATATTCGACATCGCAAAATTATAGGTTTATCGTTTCCTAATCGTCTGACTAAATAATTAAGGACAGAACAAACTGCGAATCTTTTCGATTACTATAGCTAATCGTGATATGGAAGAATGCTTTCATCGTAGGTATAACGATATAAAATAATTTTTACTTTCTGTTTTATTACTTCATTGGAGAATTGTTTTTATTTATGTAACAATGATGAGTAATATACGGTACTTTTACTATCATTTAGACGTCTTGTTTCAGCAAAGCATTAATTCGGTGAACAACAGTTCTTGCTTGAAGAATGGAACCTTAATTGAAATAAAATATTAACGTTCATGAGAAAGTGATTCCTTGGTGGCCTTAGCCACTCGACCTCAATATAGTAATCATAATATGAAATTTATTGGTATACCTAGTAAGTATATGATTAGCGTTAAGAGCGTCAGCTTAGATTTTAAACCAATAATAAGTGGCAAAAAAAATAACGATGAAGAAGGCGTATTTTAACTGTGTCAAAATACAATAAAGAAATTGTGTTGTAAATGATGCGCCCATAGGGAAGGTAAATCCTATTTCCACATTAAAATTTTAGTTTGTTTTTTTAATAATTTACTTGATGATGCCTGCTCTAGTCATTTTATAATTAATTTATATTAATCGTTTCACTGGGCTGCTGTAAAAGTTAAGTCAAAAGTAAACTAAATTACTATACAAAGTATTTCAAATGCTTTCAGCGTCATTGAAGATTTAAAAAAATCATATTAAACTAGTTTCTCAAACGATTCTGAAATTAGACAATATCTTCTGCATTTAGCTGAAATTTCGAATGTTGGCTTCTACGTTGCAATGATCTCATTGACCAGCCTTATGAGTTGAAGCATCTGCATGCTGTTAGATTATAAAATAGTTTTTTTGTCCTCCTTCTGACCCTTTCTGCGCTATTTGTACCATTATAGAGAAGAAACATAGTAAAAAAAGCGTAAACCGTAATAATGTACAATAGTAAAATGTTTAACTGAATTTATCACGAGCTGTTTCTGATAATGAAACTCAACGTTTTTTGCTAAAAATATATAGTAGGTATGAAAAACTAATTAACTGACGTGATGTAGGTATTTATTGTACTGTATAATACTTGCGCTAAGTTTTGCTAGTAAAATCAGGTGCAAAATATGGAAAAGTGTCCTTATTAATTAATGTGAATCGGTTTCTTTCAAAATTTTATAAAGACGTTGGAGACTAAATGTTCTGAAGTTCCAAGTTTTTTAAGCTCAAAAACGTTGATTGAATAAAAAAGTTACTTTTAACACAAAATTAAATACCAACATTTTTTTCTTGTATTTAACCGGTGGTGAAATTTATGAACTGTTTCTTTTTTACTGTCAGTAATTATTAATTTGTTGACTTTTACTACTAAACTAAATTGGTCTATCTTTTTTATTTATATCAGCACAAATTTCT